CCCGAGCTTCGGGAGCGATCTCAGGTCGTGATCTCATTCCCAGCCCGTGTTTATCCGTGCCCGCCCCAGCGGAATCCAGCATGGTCGTGCTCATTGCCTGCACGTGCCTGCTTGGTCGCCGTGCTTCACAATGAACGTGTGTGTGTAATTTTAAAAATGCTTGATGAAATACCTCGCCTAGGTAATATATGTTAACAATGACTTACGTTTCCCGATTATTTTTGGACTCTATGTATTTGAAGTACATTTTTGCTGATACTGTGAGCTGTGTGTGATTTTGAGGCTTAGTAATTGAAAAATGGCAGGTACTGGATTGCATATGGGAGAAGTGGATTTAGATGAAAATGGTTTTCCGTGAATGTTTGATTTACTATCAAAAACTGCACTTATAGGCAATGCAGTGACTCTTGCCAGAGAGCTGCAGAATAAAAGGATAAGCTGGTTTTGAAATATTGTTGAAGCTTAAAATGTTTAAAGAACTACGGTCAAATTGGGCAAATCCTGAGGAAGATTTAAGTAGGGAAAACTATTTGCTACCCTGTTTAGCTCACCAGTTCATTAGTTCCACACTATCATATAGAACTGGAATTTTTACTTTTGGTTTATTCCATGCTCCTCCCTCCAAATTCAGACCATCTTGCATTGTACAGAAAAGGATCCAGCTGAAAACGAAAAAAATCTGAAATTGTTGTGGAGTAAATATAGCTGCCTTGAAATGGTGCTTCAGTTTATTTACTGCATGTTGTGTTCCAGGTGAGCAGTGCCTCTTCCCCATCCCCCAAATATTGCAGTGCCCTTTAACTGCCACAGTGAGTTAGTTTTATGAAAGAAAAAAAATGCATTTGTATGGGAAGATGATACCTGTGACAGCTTTCCTTGGGAAAAATTGAAGAAGCTTACTAAAGATACAATGTTGATCTTTATTACAGAAGTGAGCAACACAGAACTGATTAAAAAACTAGCAGGTGCATGGAGGGAGTTACCAGCATCACAGAAGCAGGTATGGTTGTATCCTTTCTCTGAGTACTTTGAACTCTACAGGTGGTGGGGTTTTATTTGGTCTGGTGTCTTGTGGTTTTTTTATTCAGTCTGGTGGGGTTTTTTGGTTGGTTGGTTTGTTTTTAAAGGGCTTGAAAAAGCACATGTGTACAAAGGTTCAGACATCGAAACAGTCAGGAGAATTGGGAGCTTTGAATAACTCAGGGGAAGTGTGGTGGGATGATCCTGGCTGAATGCCAGGTGCCCACCAAAGCCACTCTGTTTCTCTCCTCAGTTGGGCAGGGGAGAGAAAATACAGCAAAACGTTTGTGGGTCTGAATAAAGCAGGAGAGGTCCCTCAGCAGCTACTGGCAGGACAGAACAAACTTCACGTGGGGAAATCAGAGTAGGATAATGAGAAATAAAAACTCATATCCTAAGGCACCTTTCCCCTACTCTCCTCTCTTCCCAGGCTCAACATCACTCCCAATTTCTCTGCTTCCTCCTGACAGCAGTGCAGGAGCACAGGGAATGGGGGCTGAGGTCAGCCCACCATGTGTTGGGCTGGCCTCAGCTGCTCCTTTCTGTTCAGTGGGAGAACTTGGGCTCCCTTCCTCAGGGGAAACCTCCATGAACTGCTCACATGTGTCTTTCCCATGGGCTGCAGTTCTTCAGGCACTGCTGCAGCACGTGTCCTCCAGGAGCAGGCTTCACCCGGGGTCACAGCCCCCTTTGGGCATCCCCCTGTTCCACTGTGGTCTCCTCCAGGGGCTGCAGGTGATCTCTGCTCCCCCTGGGCTGCAGGGGCACAGCTGCCTCACCATGGGCTGCACCCCAGGCTGAAGGGGAGCCTCAGCTCTTGTGCCTGAAGCATCTCCTGCCTCTCCTTCCCTGACCTCAGGATCAGTAGCAGTGTTCTTCTGACATGGTCAGCCTCCTTTCTCTGGCTGAAGTTGTGCAGTTTTCTTTTTCACCTTCTTACCTCTGTTACCCCTGAGGTGCCACCACTGTCGCTGAAGGCCAATAGCAGGTGCCACTTGGAGGTGGCTGGCCTTGGCTCCATCGGGCTTCTCATAGGAGCCATCCCTGTACCCCCCTCACCACCAGAATCTGGCCATGCAAACGCAATGCAGGAAGATACTTTGCTGCTTGTACTTGCACTTGTACATGACCTTGGCTTTAATAGTTTTAATCTGTTGCCAGACAGATGACACACAGGTCTCACTCTATGTGGCTGTGGGGCTGCAAACCAATTATTTCTCCTTTTGAATGGCAATATTGCAATTTTGCCATATGTACAAGATTTGTAAAGATGTTCTGCTCTCATGTATATGGTAGGTGAAATCTCAGGTAATTTTGATGGAAGGACCAACTTCTCTTGTTTCATGTAAATTTCTTTAAAAGTCATCAAATTAAGTCATAAGTAGTGAATGAAGTCATTTCTCTGAATGACAGTTTCAAGGGATAAAGTAAAGCAATTCTAGGACTTGCTGGTGGATTTAAATGCCATTTGTAGCAAAGTAATGATTGTTCTTCCTTGGCTGCAGTTAGCAATTCAAGGCAGTTAGGAACTAAAATCTGTTTCCTAAAGGAAATATTCAGTACACCTGAGGTGTTCTCACATCCATTCTGGACTTCTCACTCTGTGTACCTTTCCCTTTTCTGAAATGTAGAACAGGGAATCAAACAGATAAAAATCTGATGTTCTGCTGTCAGTTTTTCAGTCTGTAATTTTTCTACTCATAGGTTAGAAGTGTTAGCTTGTCTAATGGTCAAGTGCTTCTGACTGAAATCTAGCTTAAGTTTAAGGCTGGTGCTGGTTTGTGCTGTAGGTTTATGAGGAGGCACTAAAGACAGACTGGAAGAGATACGGAGAGCAGATGGCCGCTTACAAAGCCCAACTGACTCCAGCCCAGGCTGCAGCTTTGAAAGAGGAAAGGAGAAAACAACTGGCAAGGAGAAGATCAATCAGGGCAAAAAGAGTAAGTATTTTCAAGTTCAGGTTTCTTTTCTCTCAAGCAGCCTGAAGCCTGTTTGTCTAGTATACAAAGCAGAGTTGAAGCATGTTTTAGAAATACAAAAGCAACTCAGAATAGAAAAAAAAAACACAACATACACAAACCTGCAAAAATGCCATGGACTAAAATAATTACTGGTGTTTGCAGCTAGTTTAGTGGCTTTCCTGTGCTTGAAGAGCACAGAACTATCATGGATCTTTGTGCTTAGAGGTAGCTTCTCTATGCTTTTTTTCTCCCTATTTCTAGAGCTGCCAGAGAAAGGATAGGCACTAAAAGACATTTGGACCAGCAACACTTTCTTCAGATGGGAAGACATCCAGAAATGGCTTTTCACAAAGATCTTTTATCTGTTACCTCATTAGGCCCTACAAGGTAGCAGCTTTGAAGTAGCCTTTTTTTCCTTCCTTTTTTGGGCTCTGCCACTGTGTAGCTGCTGCTGTTGATATCTGTTTGTGTCCTTTACTTATTACATATTCATAAGGACCATCTTCCCTATTCCTTTGTGGCTGGTTTATGTATAAATCCTTAGAGACAGAGCCATCTGTGACAGTACAATATTATGGTCTGTCTGGAAAGATCAAAGGGGTTATGTATTGCTTATTTATTCCTATGAATTAAACTGTGACATTGCCCTAATTGGGAAAAGCAAAATAAATTTGGTTTAAAAGACCCCTATTTAGAGTGAGTTTGTAATCTTAATGATTCTGCTGCTCCTTTTTAGAGAACGGCATCACAAGGAATTCAGTTGGCATATCTAATACCTAAGCAGATGCTAACTTACAGCACCTAGGCTCCAGTGGGAATGTCAGGACTGGAGAAAATGGGAAGTGTAATTGCATCTATAACTTGCTGTGCTTTCATTCTCTAGCCATCATCCCTGTAGGGAAAGCATTCTGATGGCAGAACCACAGTTCTCTTCCACCTTCTCACCTCCACAGATAAGTGCCTGCCCTCTTCTCTGCACACAGGCAGTATTTCACACCAGAAACTGAAGTCTTATTGAAGAATAATAGAAAATCTGTCATCATTACTTCCTTATAGAGTTGAATTTAGTAGCACACTCTGGTTTCTGGAAGACTTAGCTGAAGTAAGAATCAGTTTTAAATGTTTTTTCAACAACTTGTGAAAACTCAAGTTGTTAGCTTTTTGTAGTTTAACATTAGTCTTGAAAAGCACTTAGAGCATCTTGACATACAGTCCAGTTTCCAGAATAAAACACCAAAGAAATAATTTGTGTTTGATTTTTGCATAAAATATAAATACTGAGTTTAGTTTTGGAACAAGTACATGCTTGGTAGATGGAATAACTTCTTTTGTTTTTAAAGGAATTGAATCTGCTTGGAAAACCTAAAAGAGCTCGTAGTGGCTTTAACATCTTCCTGTCAGAAAATTTTCAAGAAAGTGAAGGAAGTTCACCTGTGGTAAGCCAGGAAAGATTATTTTTCTAAAACTTATGCATTGTATTCAGAAAAATGTAGTTTAGATTCTGTCATTTTCAGAGATACTGTTCAGTAGTTCACTATCTGGATGCTGCATTGCTTAGGTTATTTTTTTAAGCTGTGGCAATCTGGCTATACTGCTAGCATGGCCTGTATAAAAAAGTGCTGTGTGGGTATATAAACTTAAAAATATTTGTGCTATTTTTTGCACTTCAATGTTACAGACTTTATCTGGGTTTTTTGGTAAGGAGAGAATTATTCTTCCCTTTTTTTCTTTTTTTTTTTTTTTTTTTTTTTTGGTGAAAAATTTTTTTTTTTTTTTTTTTTTTTTTTTTTTTTTTTCTGTAGAAATACAGTTTTTTAAAGAGTTGTGTGATGTGCTCCTGTTCTGGCAGTAGCAGTTTATCGTGCCTGCTGTAGTTCAGCTGGTGTTATGGGAATACAAGAGGTCCTCAGCAAACTCACAAGTTCTGCACTAAACTGTGCTTTGGGGTGGTTTAAGGTACACTGGTGGATTATAGCACTTGAGGTGCTGCAGACCCACCCTGTGTGCCTCATGTGTTCCTTCCCTACACATTTACTCAGTGAGTCAGAACAGTGGACATAGTTTGTTCCTCAGTTTTCCATGTACAAGGCAGGTTTCTCCAGTCAGCTGAGGCCTGCACTGTAAATGTGGTTCAGATGATGCCCAGAAGCTTGTTTAGAACAATATAGTTTATTATTTACTTACATTAAAAGGGTAATTAAGGGGAAGGAAGCTTTTGTGACTTGGTGCTTTTTTTGCATTGCTTTATGCTTGACTTTCACTCATGCAGTATTTATCTTACCCCTCTGAAGTCAGTCTGCTCCTAAAATAACTCATGTATTGCATGTTCTGTATCCCCCTAGGCAAAGCTGAAGAAACTATTTGATACGTGGAAAAAAATGTCTGCTTCCCAAAAACAGGTATGCCAGAGGATTTGAATGAGGATCTCATCTAACCAGAATTAAAAACTTGAGTCAAAATTGGTATAGTCATACAAAATCTTGAACTCAGTTGCTGAAATTATAAAACTGAGGAAAATACTCCAAGATCTTTATGCATCTTGAAAAAGATAGTCATTACCATTAGTAGTGACCATTTAATTCAAAGTGTTGTTGAAATGTGAGTTAGTGGGATAGGATGGAAGTTTGGTGTGCCTTAAAGTGGACGCTAAGCAACATCTAGAAAAGAAGGTGGACTAATATGTAACAATTTTGTTTTTTTATAATCATCCATAATATCTTTAAACACCAGCATAAGAATTTGTTGCTCATGGAAGGACTTCTTACAAGGGAAAGTAACAGAAATCCACCAGTGATGTGCACAGGGTAATTTATTAACTTTGGTTGTCTGGGGGATAATTCTCTGCCAGCTTTCTGAGTGTATTGAACTATGAACCTGCAGATGAGCAAATCAAAACTGAAGGGGTGCTGTGCTGAAATCTGAACTAAACCTTGACATTTTCAGGCATTCTGTACCCTGTTGTCCTTCCTTCTGAATGCCCTTCTTACAGGTGGATTTTCATGTGTACTTGGGACATACCCTAGGTTCATGTTTTTACTGTAGAAAAATAATTTTAAATAATTCCCCAGCAATATCTATTCCTGTGCCTCACTTAATCTAGCTGTCTCAAACTAGTGCTCAAATAAAAAAACCTTAACTGTTAGTAGCAGAACTGAGTAAGTTTCCTCTTCAAGAATGGCCAGCTGCTGACATAACTGCAATTTAGTGCTACAGCTTTGTATTTTTCTGCATTTTGATTTTTTGGTTATTTTTTTTTATTAGCTGGGATAGAAAGCAAATGCCTGGGCTGTTCACTGCACAGGTGCTGTTCTAAGTCACCTTTGTGTCATGGTAGTTTTGCAGAAAAAGCCCCTTCTGTAACTTTTTGATACCTTATTTTCTTTCAGCCATACTTGCAGCTTGCTGAAGATGATAAGGTTCGGTATGAGAACGAAATGAAATCATGGGAGGCGAAAATGATTGAACTGGGACGTGAAGACCTGGTGCGTTCCAAAAAGCAAAGGTTAAAAAAGAAACCTGCTGAAACTGCCAAGCAAACTGAAACAGCCAAAGCTTCTTCAGGAAGAGGAAAAAAGGCAAAATTAAAAAAATCCGAAGAATAAAAAAATCCCCTGTGATTGTCTTATTTCTATCCTGCTGTGTTAATGCTGCAGTCAGCATTAGCAGTGAAATTTGGAAAACCCAAGAAGGGCCCTTTGGAAAGGTGATCAGGTAAGAGAGGAGTTACTGTCTCTCAGAACTGACTGACATAATCATTGCAGGTGTAGCCTGAGCTGTAGAGTAGCAATTGATTAATCAAGCTGTGAATACTGATACCCACTGACATCAGCAGTGCTCTCCAGTAACGGTTGATAATGTCCAGCTTTTATAAGGTATTTTTTAATGAAAAAAAACCTCTTTCTTCATGAAAGAAAGAATATTCTGTAATGTTACCATCTAAATTCTGTAAATAAGAGCTGAAATCTGAGTTAACACTGCTGTGTTTTATTCCCTCCATGTTATTGCTAGTGAGATGTTCTACATTTCAACAGGCACAAGAAACATAAAATGCTAACTTTTATTTTATGCATCTGTTTTTTTGTACCTGTTAATCTGTGTATGCCACTTCTGTTGCATTTAAAGACCATGTGAGTTTTGTATGAACATACCTTTATTGGACTTTGATTTTGTGGTTTTGTTTGGATACATACAAACATTTTTGTCTCGCTGTTGTCACATTTGGGATGACCTAGAAGGAAAAGAAATACGTGAGCTGCTTGGAGTTTGAGTTTTGGTGTAATAAATACAGGTATTTTGAAGAAGTGGTTGGTTTCTTTCCTGAGGTTTCTCCATCTTAGTTCAAGTCTCATAGGTATTTTGAGGAATCTATTTTTAGAATAAAGGCCAACTTTTTCAGTATTTGGTGGATCTCATCTGTTCTGAATGGCCCACAAAATAATCATGGAATTCTAGAAAGGCTTGGGTTGGAAGGGTCCTTCAAAATCACATGGTTCCCACATCCCTCCCATAGGAAATCAGGTTGCTCACAGCCCCGTGCAACCTGGCCTTGGACACTGTCACCTAAAAAGGGGCATTTTCCTTAAACTCTGTGTTTGATCAGTCTGTCAATGCCCTGAGGTTGACTGCAGAAATAAATTGGAAGCAGTTACAGACAAGCACTGAGTGCCAGTGCAAACCAGTTTGAGATAATCATTCAGTGCACACAGAATCACAGGATATCCTGAGTTGAAGGACCCATCAGGATCATGAAGTCCAACTCCTGGCCCTGCACAGGAATTCCCCTGTGCCTGAGAGTGTTGTCCAAACATTTCTTGAGTACGGACGGGCTTGGTACTATGACCACTGCCCTGAGGAGCCTGTTCTGTGCCTGACCAGCCTTTGGGGTAAGAACCTTTTCCTGATACCTAACCTAATCCTCCCTGACACAGCTCCAGCCAGTCCCTGGGGCCTTGTTACTGGTCATGAGAGTGAAGAGAGCAGTACCTGCCCCTCCAGTGCCCCTCAAGAGGATATTGAAAACCTCAGTGAGGTCTCCTCTTCAGTCTCCAGTTTCCCAGGCTGAACAAACGAAGTGACTCAGATGTGCTGATGCTCAGGCCTCAGGCAGAGTTGGTTTACAAGATGAAACCTGGGTGTTATGTGACTGACACCATCAGTATTATTTAGCTAACGATAGATGTCTGAGACACTTCTGCCAGCTGTTTTTTACACCAAAACAGCTGCTTTAGAAACTTGCACGTAACTTGCGTAGTTATCTGCAAGAAATGTATCATTCTAAGAAATTTGCACAACTGACATGAATAAGATTGCTTGTAGGATATTTTTGGGGAAACCCTCCCAGCCCAGGCTCTGCCAAGCCCTGACCCCTGCTGGATGAGGAGTGTGCCATCAGACCCACGTGCTTCTGCTGACCTTCAGTGTGTGAGTCCCTGGTGCCGTTCTGTTTGGATCCTGACTCTGGGAGACTGAAGGCTTAGAGCTGAGCTAAAAACTCAGAGAAGAACTGAGAAGCAAAGTGCTGATAGCAGGGTGGGATCTGGTAAATCGATGGGTGCACTTGAAGTTGTAGGCAGCAAGAGCTTTCTCAGCTGGCAGCTTTCTCAGTGAGCTCTGTTTTTACCAGATGTTGTCAAGATTGTGGCCAGACTCTGTGAGAGCAAAAAGCCTTGTTAGGGCAAAGGAATTCGTGTTGCTGTTTGAGTGTGGTGTGAAGAAGGGTGTGCACTTGGGAGGACTGGGAATTTTTGCCTTCCGACGTGGCTCTGCCCCGGGGGCGGTTTCGCGCTGGCTCGGTGCGGGTCCTTCCTTCGCGAGCTGACAGCGCCGTGGTGCGGTGCTTTTGGTGAGCGCTGACAGTGCCCCGGACAAAGCCAAGCGCTTTTCTGGCCGGGCCCCATTCCTGTGGGAGCAGCTCATGGAAGAGCTCCGCTGCGGATCCGGGCTCTTGGAGACAGAATGATCTGCGGGAAAGAACGAGGAATTGTTTCATTCTTGGCTTTGCACTTTATAGGCTGCAAAAGCAAAGGCAATTCCAGCATAGCCTCTTCCTTTTAGAACCTTTTCTATGCTCACAAGTAACAGACACCCACTGAACTCCATCAAACTCCCTAGAGATATGCACTTTCCCTCAAGCTCTATGTTCCCTCTTGCATTCTAACTCTTGCAGCAGCTAACATGCAGCAACTACTCCCAAAGAAAAAGTGCCAGAGCAAAAAGCCATTTCTGGCCTTCATAGCCCCTTTGCAGTCTGTAAACCAGACAAATCACACTAGTGATCCACACGTTCCTGTTCAACAACATATAGAGCATCTTCACATTCTCAGGGTGGCAGAGTCCATCGTTAGAACGCAGCAATTCCACCTGCAGTTCAGACAGAGTGGTGTGCCAGGAAAGAATACATTTGCTGACCTTCCCTCTACCCTCTAAAACCTGATTTCCAGTCACTTTCACACAGCTTCGACATAGTCCACAGTCCAAGCAGTCCACAGTCCAAGCAGCTGTATTTCACAAAGAAGAAAGTGTCAGGACAGAAGATGTTCCTAAGGCAGCCATTTCTTCTAGCACCACTTGAATTGCACACATTGTATGTAGAATACTCACTTTCCTTCTAACATATATGAAGTGGCTCATTTTTAACTCTCATGTATGGGCTGCAAACATAGAGCAGCTGCCCTATCAAACAGGCTGTACAAGTAAAAGCCAATGTTGGGCTGCACATTCCCCTTGCTGCATGTAAATCACACAAACTCCCTGCTTCTCTTCTCTTTTCTCTGCATCTCAAATCCTAGAGGTGAGTGCAATTGTTTCCACAGAGGCTGGAAGAGGAATAGGTGGCAGCACAAGCAGCTCTCATTGAACTTACTCTGACTGCTAACATGAGTTGGGCAAGCGAGCGTGTAGCAGCCACGCTCCTCTTGCAGCCTGGAACACTGTGCTCAGCAGCACGGTGCTTGTGTGGCTTCATTCATTTAACATATTGCACTTCCATTCCCCAGAGGTGAATATTTGTCAACTATTTCCCCCTGGCTGCTTTTTTATGAGCCATAAAATAAGGAATGGAATATTTTGAACTGAACATTTATTTTCTCTGGCACTCTTAACAGAGATATACAGCCTACAACCAAACTCACCTTTCATTACTTCGAAGGATCCCAGTATTTTTAGTATTTGGGGAAGTAATTCTACTTCATCAGAAACAGAATACCATAGAGGAAAATATATAATGCAGAACTTCTTTTTGGTGCCCTCAGGCTTTGTATTCTTTGACTACAGGAAGAGGAGTGGGGTTTTTAGTTTAGCCTTTAACAGAACTTCTTTCAAGAGCAGTTCTACCTAAAAAAATTAAATCAGAAGAGCTTTGTTCAATCTGTGCTATATGCCAGACATTCCTTGTATGAATGTGCAGGCAACTTATAACACTAATGCTTTTATTTCTTCTGCAGCTTTAACTAGTCATCAGGAACATACGAGGTGTGTAACTTATTTTAAAAGAACATTCTCTAAGAACACAGACCGGATAAAGCTAGCACTTAATCCCTTACTTACTGAAGGAGTTTATAATCATTATTATGATAGAGCCAGTGTAGGAATTCAAAACAGGAGCACCCAGCACTAGGAACAGGCACAAGGAACCCAAAAAGCAAGCAAACACATAGCAGAACATGATAAAAAGGTAATTCCAAGTGCTCTCACTTATTTCCCTTTGCATGCACCTCATGGAAAGAAACTCTAAAATTCCCAAGGATGACTTCCAGAAGTTCTGGAGTGCTGAAGCCCTGCCTTGGCAAGAAGCAGTGCTACTGGCAGATGCTCCAGCTCGCAGCTCTGGCAAGCCTTCCCTCCCTTCCCCAAGTAGATTTGTAATCAAGTTTTCTTGGACAGCTGGCACACAGCTGACCACCACAGCTGTAACAACATTCACAAACACAAGATTGTCTTTTGGGTAACCCTGACTTTCTGCTTCACTTAACACCCCTTCTTCCTGCACACAATATAATTATCATCTTGCTTGGTTCACAAACCCATAAAGAAAAATGTCATCCTCATTTTTGCCACTCACTCAAACGATGACAAGAAAAAGTAACTTAATTACTGCATCTTTTTTCTTATCATCATAAATGCATGTGAACCACTTACAAAGAAAGGAGGAGGAAGAAGACTCCTGACATTTCCTTGAGACAGTGTTTTCATTTAACAAGATCCTTTGTTTGCAAACCCAGCTGGAAAACAAAACACCAGGACATGATTATCCCACTCCTGAAGATGCTTAGGTAAAGCTTTTTTATTTGGAACAATATAGTTAGGTAATGTGTGGAATACTATGCTCCAATAGAGACAGCCATGGCAAAACCAGGTTTTTTCACCTCCCACTAATACTCCATGACCTCTGTGCTTCTCAGCACATTGGCACTAACCAGTTTCAGTGCTCTTCCACTCTGTGTGAAATGCTCAAAAAGGTCACTGACAGAGCAAGGGACCCAGGAGCAGCATTTCAGCAGGGTGGCCCAGGGGCAGGCAAGAAAGATGTTTTCTATGTAGAATACTTAAGAAAAAACTTTTAACAATCTTACCTGAAATATACACTGGTTTCCTGCCCAATTTAACTGACAGAAGGCCAAATGTGGTATTTCCAATGAACATTCCAGCAAAAAACAGGGATAATGCAAGACTTAATTTGTAGGCTTCTTGTTCAATTAGTACCACTATTAAAAAAAAATCCTCATTAGAAGTATGCCCTTCTCCCATTAATAAAAACTATCAAAATTATTCTATTATTCCCCACTTCTTGTTTTATATTCCATCAAAGTTTTATTCAATGTTTGATAGGTAAGCCAATAGTAGTCATATCCTTTCCTCCATAACAGATTCTAACATGTCTCCTCCTGGAAATTTCATTGTAACAAATTAAATTGTTCCATGTGGTAAGTAACATTACTTGCACCCCAATTCCCAAGCTTTGGCAAGGCAGCTTATTTAAGGCTATTAAAACAAGGACCTGTGAAAAGCATAGTTATTTCACCACTAAACCAGCATAGATATTGCAGGTATTAAAATCTCTTCATCAAGAAGTACAATGCACATTCACTACTGCAGTACTTAGAGAGTTAATGCTGTGCTTTCTGAACAATAAGTGATCCCTGGTGCCTTTCCTCACCACACACATGTTGAACTCTTGAAGAGAACCAGAAAGGGATTACAGCAAAATGTCTTGGCTCATAAAAATGCTCAGAACTAGTTATGGGCTACTCATTGGTATTTGAGAATCTTATTGTGCACATGCATTTATAATAAAAATAAAAGTTAAAAAAAAATATAGGTTTCTTTATAAAATATATTTTCTACCTCATCCAAAATCTAAACTGAGGCAGCACAATCACAAATCGTCAAAGAGAAGAAAATTAACTGAGAGTGGATTGAAAATACTATTTCCTGATGGGGCAAGGAACACAGACAGCTTGTACAGTGATTAGTTCCTGAAGCAGAACATAAGAGCCACTCTGGAGTTTTTCTGGGAACACTGTCCCTACAAAACCAGAACAGAACTGAGAATATTTAAGTTCCATTAAGTTTAATCTCCATCAACAAAATAAAGGAAATAAACTTTACAGAAGCAGCTCTTGCAGGGCAGAACAAGAGAAAGGATTGCTTTTACAAACTGGTACTTTTGCTGCTTGGTGGCTGCATGTTTGTGTTTTAACAAGCCTGATATAGTGATATGTGAAGAATATAACTTTTAAAAGAATGTAGCTCTCTACTTTATTTGCACAAAGGGAGCTCGTTAAATATTCTTCAAGATTAACTGTAGCTTGCCAACAAAATTGTTGCCAAGGAGAGAAGGGGCTGCCAAGAGAGGAGGTAGGTCCAGGCAGGATGCACAGGGACACAGCCACATCTCTCCAGCAAAACAGGCATTTAAAGGGGAGCTGCAAGAGACACCCCAGAGAAGAGTAGAATTGCTTGGCAGTTGTTCCATTGTTGTTCATGTCTTTCATGACCTCAATTTTAAGATAAGCATTGTTTTTTATCAAGATTTAATCTAGGCTAGATAATTGCATGGCCACTACCAAAGGTTTATTTTGCTCAGTAGCCTTCTCCAAAGGCCAGAAGATTGTTCACTGATCAATCTGAACTACTATAAATGCTCTCTTCACCCTGGGGTTTGCAGAGTAACACCTAAAAGCTCCACATCCGATGAACAGCATGAGAAATTCCCTTCAAGTTAGCATGAATAGAGATATTAACCATCATTAATTAAATCTGGCAAAAAGGAGTTTGACAAAAGCACGTTGAGTTGTCATTGGTTCAGTTCCTTCAAGACTAACACACATGGTTATGGCTGCATTTTTCCTAGCATTACATTTGTTTACCACCACACTAACTTTAAACAGGGATTTAGGTTTGCTTTGGGGCTTTTTAAAAAAGTATTTCTCCTCAGCCATATAAAGAAAGTCTATTGTTTAAAGCAGTAAGGTAGGATGACTTTCCCTCAGTATACTTAGTTCATTTTTACTAAATTAGTAGAAAGATTGGCTGGGGTGGTGCAGCTCCCTGAGGAAGCAGTGAATGCCATGCAACATAGTGAGTGTGGTACAAAGGAAAAGCTAAGTGAGGGTCAAAGTGTTGCTTACCTTGGAACTGTTACAGCCTGGAAAAATGAACTTTTAAATAACTTCTAAGCTTCACCATCCACGTAGTCGCCATACATTAGCAGACAGCAGTGAAATTCTACATTTTGAATTGCTTGTAGTCTCTGCTCCAGCTGCTTTCATGATTCCTATCCTAATGCAAACAGAGCAATCTGTTGCTGAACTTTGGCAAAGGCAGGCAGACATAAGACAGGCTCCCACTCTGTTTCTGAAAACATCTACAGAAAGGAGGAAAATAATTCTGGAAGTCCATTGATATTACAATACGTATTAGATTTCCTCTCATATTCCACCATTTGTTTTCACATACTAGTGGGGAAAATACACAGTGCCTCAGAACTTTAAAAAAAACCCAACATCAAAAACCAAACAACAACAACACACCCAAAAAACCTGTCACCATTGCTGCTGCTGAATATTTAAGATTTTAACCTAAGATGTACATACCAGCACTAGTTTTGAATTATCAGATTATTCCCTGAATGGGTCTTACCAGCATCATGTTAAAAAGCAGGAAGGCAGCTTTTAGACCACATTCAGGAGTGGTCCACTATGTGCTAAATACCAGTTGAAGAAATAAAGGAAAAAAAGGCATCATTGCTTTCTGACATTCACAATTTCTTGGCAGGGTGCTTATACTGTGTGAACTGTTCTGACATCAGAAACTGAATCACTGCAGGATCCCTTAAGAGTCAGTCTGTGCTTCTGAGATGGATTTTCAGAGTGCTTAAAAATTATTTATTGCTACTGTCTTTTAAATCTTTCTCCTCAACCATATCAAGAAGTTATTTTATTTGAGGAACTAAACCAGGAAGCCTTGCAACAAGTCCCAGAAAATGTGGTTACAGAGCTTTCTGCTTGGGTTTTGGTAGGGGTGTTAACAGATGACTTGAAAGGAGGTTTGAAAAAGGAAAGGGCCAAATTCATCTATGCATCTCCTCCTCTGGATTACCAGAAGAACTCTGACTAGGGAATACAAAACAAAATCAGTTTTATGTCCAGCAGTTCCCCAGGAAGTTACACTCCTTTGGGACAATGAACATCTCAATTTTCATTTACTCTGAAGCAAACACCTAATCAACCCAGGTGACACTATAGCATGTTCAAGTTGCCTTTAGCAGTGTATATTTCATTGCAGCCTAAATCAGCTTCAGACTTCATGGCAGAACCTCAAGGGCAATTTAGTCATACTTTCAAGAGTTTTAAAAGTCTTTCCAAAGTTCAGATAGGTTGCTTTTGTGCTTGAACCAATATAATAAGTAACAGAATAAGGTTACATAGTGACTAGTTTGTTAATAGTAATCATGTAATAAAATATCCACTGCATCTTGCTCAAAGCAGCATTTATTAAGGACAGCATCAAGCTAAGTCAATGCATAATGAAGTTTCCATCCTACAAATATGTAAACAAGTTGACAGCAAGTTATTATTACAATATAAAAATTAAAGCTTACATTGCATCTTTTTAAAGCTACTACCTTCAGTCCAAATTTATATTCTCTTGTTTGTAGCATTTAAAAATACAAGTTCTTGAAAAATGTTAAAGTATTGCCTTTGCACATACATTTTTGTAGAAAAAGTACTTAAAAATACCAACTTCCCATTAATAAAAGCAACACCAAAAATAAAACACATTTTTGTCATGGAACAGCACACGTTGAATTGTGTCTAGCATTTTCTTCACCATTCTCTTTTACCAAGTTATCTTCTATTTTAAAATTCAATATAGTTTGCAAAACGTATGTTGGATATTATTTGGTTACTTTCACATACCAAAGGAATTAGCAATATTGGCAATTACATTGCAATCAAAGTCCAGCCTGAGCTCATTTGCAGCTGAGGCTACCAATTAATCCTCATGTCAGACTGGTATTTTAATAAGTACAGTAGGCTCTTGCTAAGAAAGCTGAGTCAGTTCAGGTATATTTTGGAAAGGCTTAAAACCTTGGTATGATTTAAACGAAAATACATCTTCTCTTAAAAGCACTTTTAAACCCCAAGTCTTTGTTTGACTACAGTCAAATTAGCAGCCCTGTTGGTAGCAGTCAGTCAGTTCTTAGGAAACTCTTTGTTCAGAAGATAATTTGACATGAACTACATTTTACATTCTAAATCCAAAAAGAATGTTAAGCATCAATTTTTAACATTTTTTTTCAAGAAGTTTCCTGGCAAGAGCTAGACAGATGACTTCTGCAGTTGCTAAGGCAAGTTTGAAAACTCCCTGTAACCCAAGTTAAAAGATTGTAGTGTTTCAAAACCAAACTAAACTAAATTAAACAAAGAGTGAGAACTATGTATCACTGGGATGAAAGCTAATCATGCCATTGTGCCTGTACAAGCATCACCTAACAAAGAACAGTAAGAAGAAAAAATGAAGATAATCCAGTGAACCAGTCTGAGGATGAATTCAAAGATCAAAATCAGGCTAGCAAGAAAATATTTTTATAGTTGGCTATTAGATTGAAGAAAACAGGTAGGAAAACATTGAAGGTTTGATCATGTAAGACAGTTGCCTGAAAGAACAGAAGTACATTTCTATGCAAACAGTAATGAATATGAATAATACTGCCAGCTTTCCCAATTCCATGCAAGTTCCAGAAAAAGGAGGATTTATTTAGCCTTTATCACTACTGAGTTAGGAAGTTAAGTCTGCCAGAAGTTACAGCCTCAGGTACATAGAGACACACAGAGCAACTTCCTGACAGGAGTGTGGTAGAGCCTGAAACACTTCAATATTCTCTAGTGCTAGAAATGTGTTTAAAACACAACCCCCAAAACAGGATCTACATGAACCTGTAATAGGAACTGTAATTCTGAAAAAATGGCATACTCTACTCCTTCATGCAGGATTATGATTTGTACAATGATGATCTTTTTTTGCCATGCTTGCTGGTAAAACAAGCATGATTAGTTACAGCAAAATGTGTCAGCAAGTGCTCAACTGTACAGTAAGAGTTAGAGATTCCACCCCAGGCTCAGGTTAGTCCACTATTCAGAGAGGGGCCAGAGCCTAGGGTTCCTTAGTGCCTTATACACCTTAACACACAGACAAGCCTCAGGGAAGCAGAGGAGAAGCACAAACATCCCCGGGCCAGAAGTCCCACACTCCAGGGGAGGTTGCTCTTGTGATCACTCCTTGCCCACAGCTCCTTAGAAAAGCTGGATAACAAGGTACAGTTTTGGTTAGGGGATGGGAGTTTTGCACTGTACTCATTTGGGAGAGAGCAACCTTCCTGTCTTCTGGTATTAAACTGTGTTTCTAAGTATTACAGGTTTTAGCCTTCTAATCACACATAGTCTGCTGGGACTTCCCATTAAAGCACTGAGGTTCCTCAGAGATGCTGGAAGTGCTGTTGCTTTTGAGCACAGCTTTGCACAGGGCTTGCAGACACTTCCCACAGCCAGGGAGGAACAACACCAACACAGACCAGCTGCATTTGTACCCACAGAATTCAAACCCTGGCTGAAGTGTGCAGAAGACTACTCTGAATGCCAATCTGTGCTGCAGACCACCAAGGGCCTACCAGCACTGAATTGCTATGGCTGTAACAGAAAAAGAACTGCAGCAAACCCAAGCCTCAGGAATATATTTTAAATCTCTGCTGTAGACTTGCAGATGACTGTCAACACCTAGGGAAAGGTCTAAGGATTAAAGTCAGAGATTCAAGGATAAGAGGAATCCATGCCATTTCCTCTTTGAGGAAAGTAACATGGTCTGTCCCAAAGATACATAATAAAATACTATCTGCAAAAAGTGGGTGGTTTCTCCCTGAATCCACAGTAGAAATGCAATCACACAGCAAACTAAGATCAGCCTAATTCTCAAAACTGCAGAAAATAGTACCAAAGGTGACTGAAAAAAGTAATTTTGACAAGTCGCTGCATCAATCTCTGTGCAGATATGCCATGGGACTCCAGGTTATAAAATGACTAAATCAACTAGACTTTTAGAAGAAGCTACTTATATGCAAATATATTAGTAATAACTTCAGCAATAAAAGAAAGTACTACACAGGCCATTTTAGAATCCACATATGGTATGAAATATACACTCATACATGTTCTGAAGTACATATATATATATAAATGTATTTGTTCTTAAAGCAATGTAGAGCAAAACTAAACCAGGGCCTGACTAACCTATCATACATATCTGTATGGCAGCATGACCTTAACACACAGCTCATGGGCTGATCAGATCCCTGAGGCGTATCGCTGGAATTGCTACGAGATTTACTTACCACAATTTTAACCAAAAACTGACTTAAATCATGTTACATCTCTTTAGATGGAGGAAGACAGACACAAACAAAACAACCCCACAAACAAAAAAAAACCCCAAACCCCTTCCCAAAAAAACACACACACAGACAAAATCCACACAGCCCTATAATACATAGAAAGGCACCTGATAATATTGTTAGTAGCAAATATCTACAGCATCCTAAGTGTACTTAAGGAATCAAGATAAATTTTAAAAATATCATAAAATACAAGAACTGCTGGCATTGAAAATGTAACTCAAACCTATCTAGCAAGTCAGTAAAATGACATGTGCAGTTGTAGATCATTAAGAGTGTGCAAAACTATGTAGTTTTGCATAAAGTGCTATATGTACCCCCAGTTTGCTAAG